TACTTGCATATTGCAGCTTCCACCTCTCACCAGTAGAGAGCCGAGGTGCCTGAAGTTTTCTATATGTTCGATGGCCGTTCCACTCCACTGAATCTTTGACTCGTTAGTCGAGCCAGGTGGTCGCAAGACCGTTTTGAAGGGGCTAATTTCTAAGCCTACAGTCGAAGACACCGTAACGGACTGGCTCAGCAGTAGTAGTCGAAATCTGTAACGTGCATTCTTTGTAGTTTTGGCTGTCCCGTGGGAATTATGAGCGGTTAGCTGTCCCGCCTCACTTCTTCCGTCCGCCGCTTCTAAATCTACTTTATCATCATACCTTACTGAAAGACGTCGCCCATTGCCGTCGGTGCTGAACGATCATTCGTCATCTCAACAACATATCTTGTTTTTATCCTTGACAACGGTCAACGATTCGCCCAGTTCGTAAAGCTTTTCCACCGTTAGTTTAGGCACTGTAGCGCCTGGTTTTCACCTCCAGTTTTCTAAGATAGCCCAGCACAAAAGACTCGACTATTTTTGGAACGACCGCAATCGGTATGAGTCACAGAAATGCCATGTGTAGAGTAGATGCGTCGCTATAAAGCTCCGCGTAAAGTTAAACCGCATAAAGACAGGCAAAATAACTTGAGTCACGAAGTTTCGAACAATGTTATTCTGAAACACAGCCCACGTAAATAGAATCAAGGTTCAACACTGCAGGCTAACAAAGCGGAACGACAGCACTGGCGCTGCTACATGAAGTTAACTATTCCGAACATTCCTCGATCTTGGATAAGTCGCATGACACTTCACTGACGATTCAAACTTATGATACCGAAACGCTACAAAATAACGGAACATCGAATGCATTCCGTTTCTCTTACATGCCATGTAAGTGTAATTCTTAGGCATACTGCCCTCTTATTCGTAGTTTAAATTAACTTTTTTTAATTTTACCTTTAGTTATTCTTAATTTAATTAAGCGTGCATTTTTGACTGCTTCGCCAGATTGAGAATTCATAGCTGCGATGGTTTGGGCGTGTACGTGTTGCGAATGCCTCGAGAAAGGAAGGCAAAACAGCTATTAGTGACTCGACTGGCCGACCGAAGAACCCGGGAACAACCAATAATAATCTGGGGCAAGTGGCTCGACGGACTCCGCTCAGAACTCTGGTTATCTTCTGAGAAGCTGAAAAGCTAGTATAAGATCAGGAACGTTAAACACACTAATTGACGCGTCTGCCTTCGCGACCTGAAAGGATAAACGTTGACCGAAACAGAGTGACTCTAATCTATGCTGCAACGTAGGCCTGATTGGTCATGCTGTTCAAACAATACATGTTGAACTTAACAATCAAAGGATTTC